ATGGTTTCTCATCGGCTGAGTTGTGGTATTTTCTCATTGGCTGACCTTGTTGCTGGGCAAGGAGAAAGTCTTCCTTCCTCCTACTGGAGGAGTAAACTTCTTCCTGGCGGAGATGCAAGGTCCATCTCTTCCTGTTTGGGGTCTGCAGATGGCAACAGAGTGGTAGTGCATGAGAGCTCCCCCTACAGGGCGTCCCAACTCCATTTTAAGTGAGGTTGCCTTTATTAATTTTCGCCAACTCCTCCTCTCTTCCTGACAAGAAAGAGCTTCTCCTCAAGCTGCTGGTTCCCAGAGGAGGGCAAATCTTGGGTCTCTGCTCTGCTGTGTCCTTGTCCTGCCACCTCCTTTTCAGCTCTCAAGATGTAGCTTGAGTGACACCACCTCCAGGAAGCCCGCCTTGATCCCCTGTGAGAGCCGTCTGCTCCCTTATTTGCCCACCCACAGCCCCAGGGTTTCTCCTACCAGGGTACTGAGTAAAGTTTCTGTTGAAGATTAACTCACATGCAGGAAGTACACAGATCTTAAGTGGGCAGCTCAATGGATTGTCCCAAAATGAATAGCCTGTGTAAACAACATCACCAGACTCCTACCCCACCAGTTACTACTCCTGCCCCAGGGGACCCTCACCCTGACCTCTACCCCATCAGTCAGTTTTGCCTGATTTGGTACTTTATGCAAACACAATCATCTAAGAAGTCCTCTTTCATGTCTGGCTTCTCTCACGTTACGTCTAGATTACGTCCTCACACGTAGTTGCAGATGGTTTATTCTCATGATCCCCTGTGTGAAGACACCACAATTGATCCATTTTACCATTGATGAGCGTTTGGATCCTTTCTAATATTTTGGCAACTAATGAATAGTACTGCTAAGAATATTCTACTTTGTGTCTTTTGGGGCACACATGCATACATTTCTGTTGAGCATACACCCAAAGAAAGAAGCGGAATTGCTGGGTCATAGATGGGTCATAGGGTAGCCACGTACTCAGCTTTGGCACATGCAGCCAAACTGTTCTCCAAGGTAGTTGTGCCAGTTAGCACCCCGTCAATAGTACACCGGTCAGTAGTACAGGAGAGACCCTGCTGCCCCACATCCACGCCGACTCCCAAGACTGTCCGGGAGCCTTGCACTTAATCTGTTCCCTTGTCTGTCTCACCTATTGGCGTGAGAGGGTGCTGTCTATGCCCCCTGGCCCGTAGGAGACACAAACAAGGGAGAGGAGAATGAAGAGAACTGGAAAGAAGGAAAGAAGAAGGAAGGAAGGAAGGGAGGAAGGAAGGAAGCAAGGAAGGAAGGAGAGGAGGCAGGAAGTGGGGGAGAGGAGGGAGGGAGAGAGAGAGAATCCACGAGGAAACAGGTGAATGTCTCATGCTGTGGGGCTCCACGCTGGCTGCCCCAGAGGGAAGTGCCTGCTGGGGCTGAAGCTTTGGCTCCTGGTTCACCCTGAAACCTCAGCTTGCCCTGAACATGAACAGTTGAATACATTTGTTTCTCAACAGTTGCATTTTGGGATCAAGTCTTCTAAACAATAGGTTCAGAGTTTGGGGACTACAGGGAGTGGTGGACAGCAGGACCCCCTCAGTCGCTGCAGAGAAGGGGGGTGGCATAGTTGGGAGGGAGGTCCAGGAAGCCTTTGAGATGGGCTCCTGAATGTACATGGCTTGGAGATTGGCTGAGCAGACAGCCTCAGGGGCCAAAACCCCCGCCCCAGACATGCCTGCCCCCATCTCTTGTCCTGCCCAGTACCACCCCCACTTTCCTTCTCCTCCTGCAGCAAGCAGGGGCAGGACCTTGGGTCCTTGGCCAAGGCCAGATACCAGGTAGGACCTGCTGGCAGAGGCAGGCACCACTGACAGAGGGGCTCCCCCAAGATGCCTTGCCTCCTGGGCAGGTGGGGAATGAGGGAAGTCGGCCCAGTGGGACCTTGTGCAGCCCTGGTCTCCCTGCCTGGCAGCTTGGCCCCAGAGCCCCCCCCCCCCCCCCCCCAGCCTCCAGCAGCCTAGCCCAGACTTGGGTGTCAGCCAGAATGCACCAGGGCACGTTGAATAAGGAGAGCTTCTTTCCTCTGCTTTGCCAACCTGGTGCCAACCTTGGCTCTCCCCATGCAGATACAGCACTGGAGAAGCAGAGAGGCCCTTTGGTCCTTACTCAGTGCAGGAATCCCATTCCTGGACTTTCTGAGTTTCTTAACTCTTCAAGGGACAGAGGCCTCACCACTTCACAAGGGCCCCCGTGCTCTGGCCATGCAGCTCTGACACAATAAAAGCCACTACTTTTTCGCACTTTCTTATGGACCAGGCACTGGGCTGACCTTCCATACGTTATTTCACAGTGGCTCCATGCAGTGGGTATTATTATCACCATCCCCATCTGGAAGATGTGGCAACTGAGGCTTAGAACCATTAAGTGTCATGCATATATATTTATTTCTTCCCTCTGTCGGATGGGAGGGCCTGGAAGCAGTGACACCTCAGTTGCACTGAGCACAGCCAGCGCCCAGATCTTGGTTTCTAAATACCACTCTCCAATAAAAGGAACCACGCTCCTTAGAGAAATGGCTGATTTTAGCACTGAGGCAGGGGAAATATAAGATGAGCCTGGAGCATCTTGTAGTGCCAGAAAGTAAGGAAATGTTCAAAAAAACAAAGGATGAAGGGATGTCAAACAGACGCAGGAGCTAATCTGAAAGAGTGCCCAATGGCCAAAGATGGGACAATTTGAACAATAAAATAAATAACTGAGTATTGAAGCAATACCCAATGGATAAGATAAATAAAGCCATGGGTCCATGCTGATAGAAATAAATGATGGATTAAATAAATGAGGAGAAAGGAGCAAATTTTCCTTACAGAAGAATTCCAAATAATATACATAGATATGTCCCCCAGGAGGTGGAGGATGCCTCCCCCCAACTTGAGTGTGGGTTCCACTGCTTCCAAAGAACAAAGTATGGAAAGGGGAAAATAGTCACTTCACAGTGGGAACACCTGGCAGACACCAGTTAACCCTGTAATCAAGGTTAACATCACCAGTAATAAGTCCTGGGGACATCATGTGCCTCCTGAGATCATGTGACCAGAAGGGCACTTCACCTCTGTGGTATTCTTCCCCCAAACCCATAACTCCTGCCCTGGAGTTTCATGAGAAAAACATCAGATAAACCCAAATGGAGGGATAGTCTAACAAAACTCTGACCAGAACTCCTCAAAATTGTCAAGGTCATGAAAACCCAGGAAAGACTGAGAAACTGTCCCAGACCAGAGGAGACCAACATGTGATGACTACATGCTGTGTGGGACCCTGGATTGGCTCTCAGAACAGAAAAGACCCATTAGTGGAAAAACTGGTGAAATCTGAATAAAATCTGGAGTTCAGTTAATAGTCATGTACCAATGTTGGTTTCTTAGTTTTGACAATGGTACCATGGTAACGTAAGACGTCGACAACGGGGGAACTGGGACAGGGCTGTACAGAACAATCTTTGCAACTTTTCTGTAAACCTAGTTATTCCAAAGTAAAAGCTTTCTTTTTAAAAATTACACAGGGTATAAAGGTCTGAACCAGAGTTCACATTCAAATGTGTCTGCCTCTCGCCCGTGCCCTCCACCCTCCCTGCACCATCTCACGTTAGAAAGTCCTCCCCAAAGTCTTCATGGGTCTGAGCTTCTCCCCTGTCTCTGTTTGCCTTCTAGGACCACCCTGACTCATCTGTTTTCTTCTCCCCAAGACCTCCTTTTGAGGGATGAAGGATGATCCTGTCCCCCCAAGTGTGTTCACATGTCCAAGGTCATTATTCCCAGGGCCTTCCACTCTTTTAAGTGACTTGGGTTTCAATGAACATTGGGCTCCCCAGCATCTACCCCTCCTTTGCAGCAGCCGCCAAACTCCACTTGAGGATCCAGGGGGTTCCAGGGAAGATAACTCCCCAACTTGGCTCCAGGGATAAAGCACATGACCTAGGCGAGGTCTATCAGCATACACCATAACCCAGCCACGGTGATCAGCCCAGAGGTAACCACATGACCCAAGCTGATCTAATCAGAGAACATCCCAGGACTTTGACAGAGAACGCCGGGACAAAGACACTTCTTTTCTTCCATGTTGGGTGTGAATGGTGAAGCCCCTGGAAGCCTTAGGATGAATCCAATACCAAGGACAACAGAGTAGAGAAACAGAAAGAGCTGAGTCCTCAGTGACATAGTGACATCAATGAGCCACTGGATCAAGCCTTACCTGAAGTGCACCCTACCTCTATACTTCTCAGTTATGAGAGCTGTGGTAGGCTGAGAAATGGCCCCCCAAAAGATATTCATGTCCTAATCTCTGGAACCTGTGAATGTTAACTTATATGACAAAAATAGGCGTGGAGATCTTCGCAGATGAGATTTAAGTAAAGGATTATAAAATGGGGAGGTTACCTGGGTTGGCCTCAAATGCAATTGCATGTATCCTTATAAGAGGGAGGCAGAGGGAGATCTGACATAGACACCCAGAGAAGACAACGTGACCACAGAGGCAGAGACAGAGTGATGTGGCTACAAGCCAAGGAATGCTGGCAGCCACCAGAAGCTGGGAAAGGCCAGGAACAACTCCCCGTGGAGCACACGTCCACCACAGGAGGGAGCACCGCCCGGCCGACATCTGGACTTTGGCCCAATGATACTGACTTCAGACTTCTGGCCTCCAGAACAGTTAGAGAATGAATTTCTGTTGTTCTAAGTCACCTAGTTTGTGGTAATTTCTTTATAAAGCTTTAAGAAACAAATACAAGAACTAATAAATTATCTTTAATATTTAAGCCTATTTGAATCTGCTATTTTGTTAATTTCAGCCAAAAGCAGTCTAACTGACATGCAGCTCCCCTCTCTCTCTCTCCTCTGGCTAAGAGGTGGACTCCACAGAAGGACAACCCCCCAGTAGGAGGCAGCCAGAGACCCTCCTGATCTTTACGTGGGGAAACGGAGCTGGGGTGGGGGCAGCATCAGATGCTCACGGACTCCAAGCAAAGGCATTAGGGGAGTTTATTTACAGACAAGTCACAGAAACCAGGCCCCACACAGGCTCTGGCCGGAAGACCCCAGACATATACATAGGTCCCAGCACCCATCGTCACCAGAGCCGTTCCCAGCGAGGCCCCTGCCAGAGGGACCACGAGTCAGGCCAGGTGGAGGGCATGGAAGGGAGAGGGCCCCAGTCCCTGCCAGATATCAGAGGTCACCTGTGTGGCCCCCCTGCCAGAGGAAGGAACTGCCCTCAGCCCTGAAGTGGGACATTGAGGAGCATGAGACCCTCTGGAGGGAACCCCCTCCTGTGTCCAGCCTGTGCCCTCGATGCCAGGCCACAGAACAGAAGTCTCAGCAGCAGAGGCTTGGGGCATGGAGACACGCAGGCCCCCTCCAGACCTGCCCAGGAGCCGGCCAGGGAGCTGGTGTCCCAGGCCACGGCTGCCCATCACGCGGGGGGCTCCCCCTGTTTGCTGGTGGCACTCGTGATCCGCTTGTTCTCCCGGAGGTTGCGGAGGCGGGCACTGAGGCTGCTGATCTCTTCCACGTAGGCCTGGGGCACCCACCCCTTCTCACCGTCTGCCAGGCGGACCCCCTCCAGCCAGCCTAGGGGCACATGGCCCAGGAGCAGCATCAGTGGCATCAAAGGGACACGAGGGCCAGGTCTGTGAGGGAATACCTAGGCCCTGATGCAAGCCTCGTCTGCACCCCTGGGGCCGAGGTGACATCATCTCAGCTTCTCTCAGCTTCAGGAAGGCCCCTGCCTCTAGCAGTCTTGTAGATAAACTTCAGACCTGTTTTTCCTGACATCCGCTAAGAAGGGTATTTCCCACTCTCCCCCGTCAGTCATTCTCGATCCTACCTCTTTACAAGCAGGAAGTTCCTCCTCTTGTCTAACTTGATCCCTGCATGCTGTGGTTGATCAACACTTGCATAACCTTTTCCTGTGATGTCTTAACCCTCTAGCTACCTCCTTCCCGCCCAGGCCCCATCAGGGAGGCCTCCCAGGGGACCCGTCTCACCGTCACTGGTCCGGGTCCTCACTGCCAGGATGTCAGTCTTCTCCAAGGTCAGCTCGTCCGGCTGCAATGCCTTGTATGTCCTGACACACTGAACCTGGGGGCGGTCTGAGAGCCCAAGGGAGAGTGAGGGGGTCCCCAAGGCAGGATGGGGGGGCAGTAGGAGGAAGTAAGGGGGTGGGAGGGTGGTCGCTGCTGTTTCTTTTCCTCTGCCCCTCCCTCTGCCCACCCTGGCCACTCTTCTCTCTTCCCCTAAACACAAGCCCTAGGTGAATCCAGTGTCTCCCGGCTTCGGTGACTGCTCCTGTGCCCAGGGCTCTTGCCTCCCCAGCTCAGTCCAACACCTTGCCCCTGACCTCCAGGCCAACGTCCAGCTGCCCCCAGACACCCCCACAAAACAGTCACAGCCCCTTCATATGCCCCCTGATGCTACTCTGGTGCTCCCTCCAGTCCACCCTTCTCAGCTGGGATTCAGGCCACATCACTCCCCCGTTTATAACCCTCCAGGGCTTCCCACTCCTCTTACAATAAAATCCAAAGTCCTCTCTCAGCCTACAAAGCCCTGCATGGTCTGGGGTTGCCCCCTTGCTAACCTCCTCTCCTTCCCTCCCCTCTTTCCCCTCTCTCCCTTACTCATGAAGCTCAGACACACTGGTCACCCTGCTGTTCCTCAAAGACTCTAAGCTCCTCCTGCCCCAGGGCGTTTGCACTGGCTGTTCCTCCTTCCAGGAATGCTCTTCCCCAGATCTTTTCATGGCTGCCCCTCCCTATTCTTCAGGGGCCTTCCCTGACCACCTCTTTGGAGTGGGAAGCTCACTTTCCAGCCCAAACAGGACTCTTAGCACAAGCCAGAGAATGTGCTCCAGTCCAGGCCCTCAGCTCTTTCCATCACACTCGGTGGGCTGGTGGTATCAGGAAACCACAGGCTTTGGGGCCAGACCCGTCTTGAATCCCAGCTCTGCCACTTATTGGCTGTGTGACTTTGGGCAAGTTACTTAACATTTCTGAACCTCAGTTTTCTTAGATGTGAAAAATGAGTCTACCTAATAGGGTTGCCATGAGGATTAAGTCAAGTAAACACATACACAAAGCCCCTAGCACTGAGCCTGACACATGGCAGGTACTGGGTAGAAAAGAGTTCTCTTCCTTCCCCTTCATTAGCTCAGCCCTAACTCCTCTGCTCAGGACCCTTCAATAGCTACCTAGTACCCACTACACCAAGGTCCTCTATGACTGGGCTGCAGCCTGGCTTGCCAGCCTCATCTCACACCCAAAGAAGAAGCCTCTATATCAACAGAGCAGATCCCTCACCTGCCTCCACGGCCACGGCCACCACCCCACACCCCACGGCCAACCGCTTCCTGTCCTCTCTGCCACTGATGCAAAGATAGAGCCAGACCTGGCTTCCGTCCCAGCTCTGCCACTGACTAGCTGGGTGACCCCGGACAGGTCACCTCACCTCTCTGCATCTCTGTTTTCTAACTCGCGAATGAGCTTCTGCGGGGATGAAAGGGGAGGAGAGGAAAGGCTTTGCCACGCCCAGGGAGCGGCCTGTGTGCATGAGGTCGGCTGTCCTGTGTAAATCCTGCCCATCTTTCAAGGTCCCGCAGAGCCGCCCCTGGCTGCCCCAGGCCAGTTGGTGTCTCTCTCTGCTAGCCGTGCTGGCAACGTGGCACCCAGGATTGCAGGAAACGCGGAGAGCAATGAGGTACCCAGCCCAGGGGACGAGGGCTTAGCGGCGGCGGGGGTGGGCAGGCTGCTACCTTCTCCCTCGCTGATGACCAGCCTGTCCTCCTGGGGGCTGGAGGGGCACATGGCCGAGATCCACCGCTGCTTCTCACTTCTAGGAAGGGAAGGCTGAGTTGTCACAACCTGCAAAGTGCGGTCTCCCGGGGCCCGGATGGTGCGAGCAGGGCTGGGAGAAGGGGCTGTGATGTCCAGACCCGGGCCCCAGGTCATGTCTCCCCCACCCCAGGGCCCACCCCACAGCCCTGTTCCCAAACCTGTGCCCCGCCCAGCTCTGCACATAGGAACAGAGCAGGCCCAACACCCCTGGATGCCAGCTCTGCCCACGTGCTGCCTTATGCCACCCTCCTGAAGCCAGAGAGGAAGGCCTTGTGCCCGCCTGGGGGGCCCTGTCTCCCCACCCCCAGGCCCACTCACTCCGTCCGGGCGCGTAGCAGGAACTGGTGCTTCGCGTGCTGCCCGTGGAGGAGCTGCAGGAGGAACACGTGGCCGGGGATGCCCTGGAGCTTCAGGCTCAGGCCCCTCACCTGCAGCTCGGCCATCGTGGCGTGGACAAACACAGCAAACTTCCCGAGCCTGAGGGCCAGGGAGCGAGGTCAGCCCGGCCCGCCGGGCTCCCAGCCCCCACCCTCAGGGCCAGGCGAGCTCTGACTGGAAGGCAGAAGGGGTCGTCCGCCCCTCGAGCACCCTCCTCAAGGAAACCTGGCTGCGCGGGACACCACCTCCCTGGCAGCCAGCAAATTCCCCCAAAGGAATCGGGAGCTCCATTCCTGCCAGCTCACCCACAGAGGCGGAGAGGAAGACCAGCCCCCGCCCCCAGGCGTGCTTTCAGCTTCTCTCTGAGCCTCTCCACCGAGCCCTGTTCTTTTTTTTTTTTTTTTGTGAGGAAGATCAGCCCCGAGTTAACATCCATACCAATCCCCCTCTTTTTGCTGAGGAAGACTGGCCCTGGGCTAACATCCGTGCCCATCTTCCTCCACTTTATGTGGGATGCCACCACAGCATGGCCTGACAAGCGGTGCATTGGTGCGCACCCGGGATCCGAACCCGGGTCACCGGCAGCGGAGCGCGCGCACTTAACCGCTACGCC